TTTTTTTTTTTTTAGAAACTGTTGTCTTAAAACACTCTGAAAGTGTCTTAGGAATGATCTTTATGAAAATCTTTAGTGCTTTTTTTAGTTGGTAACATCTCGTATGAAGTTGGTGAAGAACAGCTAAAACAAGTATTTTCTCAAGTACGTGTTTTTTCTTTTAAGATCCTGATCGGCTTTTTTCTTTCCACTGTTATTTTATCTTCAAAAAATACTGGTTTTCTGTAATATCTTGAAGCTGCATTTTTCCAGGTTGGTCCAGTAGTTCATTTAAGGTTGGTACATGACAGGGAAACTGGTAAACCGAAAGGTTATGGGTTTTGCGAGTATAACGATCCACAAACGGCTGAGAGTGCCATAAGGTTTAGCTATTTTGGTTATTACCAATTTAAACCGTATAGACCACAATTTTTTCTTACTTTTTCAGAAATTTGAATGGATATGAGCTTAACGGTCGTCAGTTACGCGTTGACTCTGCAGCTGGTGGTGAACGCAGCGCTGATGAGGTTCAGCAATTGCAGGCGGCTTTTGCTGCGCAACAGCAAGAAGTAACGAAGGTATTTATCTGACTTTGAAAAAGAAGTATATAAACTGAATTATGGTTGATTTTTTAGACGTCTGAACGCTGGCAAAGAGTTCACATTAATATTTATAATTATTAATTAGTATTCTGTATAATTTTATACTGTTTTACTGCGTTTCATAAATAAGGCAACACTGTATGGCTTTGCGGTTGTTTATAATCTTGTATATTTAGGCCCAGGAAAGTCCATATGGACCAGAAGTGGAACCTGACAAGGCGCCTGAAGCTATATCGAGGTCTGTAGCGTCACTGCCTCCTGAGCAAATGTTTGAGTTAATGAAACAGATGAAGCAATGTGTCCACAATAACCCGAATGAGGCCAGAAGCCTTCTTATGAGCAACCCACAACTTGCTTTTGCTTTATTACAGGTTTGAAGGATTGATTTTTGCTTGTTTCTTTTTTTCTAAGCAACACAAGATTTGCATAGAAATTGACAGTCTATGAATCGTCATTATTTCTACAACACTGGCTTTTATTTCTTTGTCTATTTGTGGGAAAAGAAAGGATTTTAATAAGTTGAGTCGTAGAAAGAAAGTATTTTTAATCAACTTATTTGTTCGTCTTAACTCAGCTTTTCAGGCACAAGTGGTTATGCGGATCGTTGATCCTCAAGTAGCTATTGCAATGTTACACAGAGATGCTCCGTCAACGAACCAACCTTTCCATCAGCAAGTTGCTGCACAGTTTCCTTCTGGTTTGTCGCTTTTTCAACGCTATTATGTATAGTGAAATTATTCTTTAGTTTTGGCCTCTCACCGATTTCAGAACTGTTGGTCTCTTCATTTTCTTGTTACAGTTTACACACCCTTCTTTGCAGAAGATACGCTCAAATTTTTTTGATTTACGGTATTATCGTCTTTTCTTAATAGTAGGACAGTAATTTTTGCACGGAAATTAGTATATGTTTCATGCAAATATTCTTTCTTTTTTTTTTTGTTGGCTTCTGAATACTCCGCTTTTGTGATTTATTGAGGTAACTTCTTTCAGAGGTCGCAGCTTCATTGCCTATCGTTCCTCCTATTTACAATGGTCCTGTTCGGCCGATGATGCCAGCTCCCGTCCAAGCTGCGGTGGTTGGAAATTATCCAAGACCAGCTGCGGTTGCCACAGCTCCTGTGCGGCCTGTTTCTCAACCAGCGGAACCTGAATTAAGTGCTGATGATCAGCAGCAAGCTCAACTTTTGATGCAGGTAAACGTCTTTGGCAGTCTAATACATACTTTTCATTTTTATTACTTTCTTTTTGCTTTTTTAGTTTACTTGTTTTTTAGGTCTTGCAGTTGAGTGAAGAACAGATAGCTTTATTGCCTCCCGAAGATAGAAGAAAAGTTATTGAATTACGTAACCAACTGAGATCAAGTGTTTGATGACCAGTTACTTTTTAGTCGATTCTTCTTGAATTCTGATTTTTTAGCGATCTCACTGGATTTAGTTTATTGGATAGGAAGTTTGATGGACACAGTACTCTGTTACTTTTTAATATTTTTACAGATTGCTATGTTACAAATTTTCAATATTTACAAGGCTTTTGGTCTACCAGAAGTTTTCTAGACACATTATCAATTTTTGTTTTTTGTTTTTAAACCGTACTAACAAAGTCTTAGGGGTGTTAAAAATCATAAAATCAACAGTCTGTGTCAATTAATATTAAAACGTGACAGGAACGCTATAGACTTGCTTCCTAGTTGATAAAACTGGTCTGGGTAATGCGCATCATTTGCATTCGTAATGATGCTTTTTGCTATAGTTTCTTTTCTTCGTCTTTGTTTGAACTAGAACTGACTGTAGATTCACTGTGACTCTTCAGGGTGGAAATGCTTCTACAAAGTACTTTTTTTTTATCCGAATATCTTGTTTGTACGTTATTGCAGTGGTACGAAACGGATTTTTAAATTTTTTGTTTTTGTTGACTTACAGTTGGTTTTTTTTAAGTTAAGATCAGACTAATTTGAGGGGCTTTAAATATTGCTTTTAGTGGCTAAACAGAAAATTCAGTTATTATGTTTTGTTAGATTTCATGTTCTACTGGAGAACTATATTTTCTTGCTGATTTATTTATATTTACTTATCTAGTTTTCTTGAATGGAGGAACTTAAGTGGGTTGTCGTATAGCGTCTAATATTGAAAAATGGTAATAAAGTAAAATTTATGCTATTTTTTGCTGTCGCTGTGTTTGACAGAACAAGCATGTTAGCTGAATGACCACAGTGCTTCGTAAGTGATTTTAATTTAACTCGTGATTTGTATTATGTCTTTGCTTTGAGCTCCGGTCATTTATTTAACAAGTGAACGAGGTTGGTGATAATTTTTCTTTTTATTTCGGAATATCAGGAATGTAATTTTTGATGCTTTGAACTTTGGGTTGAACGAATCCTTGAACAGTTGTTTCTTTCTCCCCTTCCGGCATCGCTTCTGTTAATGTGTCCTGAATAAATGCGCAGAAGTGTAGTGTACTGGAGCCAGACTGCCAAGAAGTCCTGATCTAGCTCTTTTTCTGTAGCTTCCTGGAATAACTTGTCGGGCCTAAAAAAAGCTTTTATTTACAGTTTGTTGCGTTTGAGAAGGGAGCAAAAACATTTTTTTTATATTGTTGATTTCACAGGTATTAGTTGAACAAATTTTGAGTTCAAATTAAATGTAGCGTGGTACGAACGCTTTGATAATTTTCTTTGAACTGTTTTTTCCGAGAAGCATTTACCTTCTTCCTAAAAAGTGGTTGCCGTAACATGGGGTTATATGACGCACGATATGCGGAATAGGGACCTCTAACTTCTCTGTCGAACAACTGAAAAGGAAGCTGCCGTCTATATCTTTGTTTTGCAGATGCTGTATTCGTATTTTTTTTTTTTGAGAATGGTAGCGAATTTTGTTTAACAAGTGGTAAATTCGAAAATTTTTCACTACTATAAATCCAATACTGGGTTGGTATTCATTAATGGTTTTATGCATAACGGTGTTTATTACGGCAGGGTTCAGACTATTAATAGGACAGTTGATGTTGAAGACGTATCAAATAAATTTGGGTAAGGTGCAGCTAATTCAAATACTTACAACTTCATCATCTAATTTCTCCATCTCAGCCCTCACTGTAGTATGAATGATAATCGAGAAGAGAAAAACATTTGCTGCTGTCAGGATTCTGGGCATCTAAAATAAAGACGTGCTCAAACGGTCCGGTTCAGTAAAATTTTATGACAAAAACGTATAAAAACTTATTGCTGATTTTTCAGTATCATTTTGGTAAGCATTAGAGGATTCAAAATTTTGACGTAGGATTCGTTGTTTATTTTCCTGTAATTCTTTCATTTTGTAACAAATAAAGTTTTTTTTGAGACTAAGATTATTGAAGGATTTGAAATACTCAACAACACTATCTAGATATAGGAACTCTTCATAATTATATTAAATTTTGGATGTCTAGCAGACGTGCCGACAAGGAGCTCACGATCACTTTGCACTTGGATCCATTCTGATTTGAGCCGAAGATTACCACTTTGATCAAGCATCATCATATCAGAACATTGAAAACTGTCTATACTCACCGTTTTTTAGGACTTTCATTGTTAATTTTTTGTTTCATTGAGATGACAATTGATTTTTCTTATAAAATGTTTACTTTAGCGAGACTGGTATCGCAATCTGGTAATGAAATTAGCATTTAGCATTAGGGTAATAACAATTAATTTGTTTGAAGGAAATTGTTATGGAAGTTGCTTTTTTTTTCTTGTTTTTATTCCTTATTTTTCCTGGCGAAGTTCAAGTCTGTGGAGTAGATGATGATCTAAACAGTGGCAAGCTTTGGTCGGCTGACTGGAAGAACTGTTTGTTTCTGCACGATATGTTGCTGTTTGCTAGACAGGTAACTAAGAGACCAGGAAGTAGAACTTTAAAAGTCTTCTACTTGTGTTTAACCCCTTAAACGATGAAAATAGATGTGTAACATAGGTTCAAAAAGAAAATTGTTCAATTTGAACAGCTGAATAAGTGCATAAGAGAATGGAAATGAAAAGATTAAGTTTAATTAAACACTACAATTTTAAACTAGTTTTTGTGAAGAGTAAGGCATTGAATGTTTGAAGATGCTTATAAGAACAGAGCAAATGTTCTTTCAAATTTCAATCTCAGGGACTGTAGCTGAGGCTTTATATTGAGAAATTTTTTATTTTATAGTGAATTATAAACTAGACAAAATGTTTTAGGGAAGAAATTTGTTGTTTTATTTTGTAGTTCCAACAAAGTTTCATAGGAATAACAAATGAGTACGGTAGATCAAATAGGCTTAGAAAAACGTTTAGCAGTTTCTGAAAATTTATCAAATGTTGATCAAACCGGTCATCAGTTCCAGCAAACAGTAACTGCTGCTTAAGATCAGCATTAACACCGATAAATGATATTTAGAAGTCTGCGTAAAGAAGTTTTTAAATTAAATTCTCACTACTTTCTGTTCGGAAACATAAACATAAATTATCTTCATATTTGCAACACTTAACCGCAAGTTTTAATTGTTTTATAGACGTTGATTGTCATTTTGCTTTACTACTGTGCTCGCTATTACACTTATGTGTATTAAAAGGTGACAAAAGTAGGAAACGAGAGTGGAAACCGTGTTCAGAAAATAAACAGTAATTACTGAATTTGACGGTTTTCTAGTTGTTGATCACTTAAGATACAAATAGATGAAATAACTTCCTATGTTGTCTGTGCTGCTTTAGCACTGGTGATTAAATTAATTAACTCTACTTTTATGTAAAAAATTAAACAATTATTGGATTAGACAAAAAAAAAAACTTAAGTGGAAAAAAACGAAAAAGAAAAGAAAAAAAGTCACTTGTAAGTTTGTTGTAACCGTTGAAGCGGCAAAATGTTAAGGTTGGTAATAAATCAAAAACTTGGTGTTTCAGCAGAACTTAACACTATTACGTTGCTTTTCTTCCAGTAAATAAAGGACTGTTTATTAATTGTTATTTCATAAATTTAACTTTGTTATTGCTACTATAATAAAAAAAGAATGAGAAGGACGATTGAAAATAAGAAAATTTAATGCTTTTTGGTGGTTTTAAAGCCTTTATTTTATCTTAGAAGTATCACCTGTAACATTGAAGAGACAGTTGCTGAAACATTTGAATTTATTGTCTTCAAATATACTATTACTAACACAGATACTGTTATTAAATAATATTACTCCTCAAATAATATTTGGCATTTAGTTTTTGTGCATAATCAAAATAAAAAAAAAAGTTTTTTTTCGTTTAATATATCAATTACTTAAAGTAATAATATTTTTAATGCAACAAACCTGTTCTGTTTATCATTTTTGTAATTTCTTTCTTTTTCTATTAGTAGTCAAATATTATATTAACATTTTTATAGTAAATAAAATTTAAAAAAAAAAAAAAGAGGATTTACAGTCACTAATCACAGTTTTATCAGCTAACTTTTTGTTTGCCACAGAAATAGCTGTTGGGCATTTATCAAAGTTATTTATGCAACTGTTTTTCCTTCTTTTTTTTTAAATTGAATAAACAAATAGTATCATTTAGTTAGTCGAAAAAAAAGTAGTTTTTTCTAATTATATTTATTTATCCTACATTTTCAAACCAATTTTCTACATCATATAACTGATACTGTACAACAGAAATTCAATCTTCCAGCGTTCAGATGCACTACAAAAGTAGTCTTCAAAAAAACAAACTTTTTAAAACTGGGCAAATTGTGATATTTATAAAATTTTTAAAAAATTTTAAATTCTTTAAATATTTGTAGTGATTCAGTAAGCAAAAAAAAAAAAATATTGACCAACTTTGT